ATACTGGACCTGTGGTCTCTTATTCTCTTACTATTAGAGAATAAGAGGCCATAGGTCCAGTATCTGGCTTGCCTACCGTGATGGCAAATCAGACAAACCAGTGGCCAGACATTTCTTAGAATTTCAGCACCAACTTACTTCTCTTAGATGTGTCGCAATTGAGTATATAACCATTCTGGCCTGTGGAGGTGACAGGCCTCTTTTATTACAAAGAGAGACCTACTGGATTTTCCAGTTGGGAACCCTATCACCCAAGGGCTTGAATGAAAAATGCTCATTTTCATCTTTCTTATAATTTTATAAGTTGCCATGGTAAATTTAAAAATTATGAATAATATTTTCTATCTTGGATTGTGTATCAAAGAGGTATATCTTCATGCTCCCAGTTTATGACTTGGATATATAGGATCAACTTCTTTTGTAGTCAGTTTTCCTTGTGCTTAAGATCAAAAATTTGTTTTCTTTTATTATTTTACTTTTTTCTTTTTTAGTATTTTATTTTTTAATTTTATATTTCTCATTTTCATTCATTTTTATATTTTATCTTTTATTTTTCTTATTTTTATTTCTTTTTTTATTTTTTATTTCTTTTTTTATTATTTTATTATTTATTTTTTGTTATTTTTTATTTTTTTTTGGTACTGTTGACTGACTTTTAATCTATTTTAACTTTTTCTTGTAATATTTGTATTTAAGTGGGTTCCGCTTCCTGGTGGAATATATCTTAGGAGTATAATTAAGGGGATCTTATTGATTCACATATAGTTTATTCTTTATACAGAGTATCCCTGATGTTGGGAACTATAACAAATATACACATTTATCTATTTTTCTTTTCCACTATTTAGTAATTTTGTTTGCTCACTATACACCCTAATGTTTATTGTGTGTACAGTACTTTCTCTGAGTTTTCATAAACACATTGTCCCCTTTGAATATTTAAATAGGGGATCATATATTTGCATATTAACTTAAGCTTGATCTATACAAGCTTCTTCTCATTCACTCATTCATACACCTCTCAGTATTAAGCTTTTTTTAATCACTTTCAAACTTTCCCCATGATGTGACTCTATTGTGGTAAATAGACTCCTTAATTTATTGTGTTTCCGTTCGTTCTCCGAGACGCGCTCTGATTGCCATGTCAACGTTCTTATACAACCAAATTAGAGTATATATTTTTTTGTCCCTTACCGGCATCTGTACATAGAGGTGTAACCAATGTGGCGGAGGCGTTTATGGTTGCCACAGTAACATGTTTGGCCGGTCCAATGGAGACGTCCTTCAGGGTCAGGTGATTACAAACCCGGAAGTATTGTTGTTGGTGTTTTTGTGTCCTAATGAAAGCTCCCTAGAGGAGCTGAAACGTCAATGTATTATTCGCAATAAATGAAGATTTAAATATATGGAAATCCTTGAGTGCCGTTTTTTTCCTTCTCTTATGGTTCAGCGACCAGAGCACCAGGTATCTTTTGTTTTGTTATAGTTGGAGTACAGGGGATTTTTATATATATATAATAATATATATATATATATTATACAATTTGTGTACGGAATAATAGTGGGACGTATGATTAAAAATGAATGTAATTTGATAAGAACAAAGTTGGTTGAGGTGTGTCCCAAAACTGATGAGAGGTTAGACCTGTAAAAAAGAGGGCAAAAATTATGAAACAAATTTTATTTATTTCACAAGAAACATTATTTAGACATATGGAAAGAAAGTCTGATTTCCTTCTTTGGATTTGAAATGCATCTGTTGTATGCAGAGGATTTCCAGCGTCCCATATTCTTAATGATATGTGTCGGAACGTGATTACTGGAGGCTGCTGTGGCTGCCCCAATATGAAATGAATGACCTGAGAAGGAATGTGGATTAAGGCCTAGTTGAGTAATAGTGTGCGTATGTATAGCATTAATTGTTTGGTGGTAAAAGTTTTTCCTTGAAGAGTTAATAGTGGGTAGTCTGCAGGGCCGGACTGGGGATACGAAGCAGCCCTGGAAAAAAAATTATGCCAGCCCCATAAGTCATTGTGCTATGTAGGGAATGACCCTCATCTGTGTGACTTCCTGGAGTCAGAATACCTGGATGAGCAAGTCAAATCTATGAAACAACTTGGTGACTACATCACCAACCTGATACACCATACACATACTGCCCCACACACATATATACAGCCCCTCATACACACATTGCCCCACACACCCTACACATTCACACACAAGACCCCCCCACACACACACACTGCACCCCTACCATTACACCACTGCTCCTATGCCCTACAACAGCCCAATATCCCAGCAGATCCCAGGTAAGTTGTCAAAATGTTTTTAAACGGTTTGACTACTTACACTGGGTGGGGGTCCCAGTACTCCTGGCACCATAACCACTTCACAGAGCTGTGAAGTGGTTATGGTGCCAGGATTATTGTGCATGGATTATTTCTTTAAATAATATAAAAGTGCCCCTCCTGAGATCAGTCTCTGGATCCGCCACTGCCCCAGTCAGCAGTAGTATTGAATTGAGCCAGTGACGCAGCGGATCTAGCTGAAAAGGCCTTATGGTAATCATAGAATGCGTAGCCTCGTATTTATAATATAGGTCCACCAGCTTGTGTAAGTATAAATCTAGTTCCTCTCTAACCCTCTATATAATCCGAAGGCTAAGACAAACTCTGGAATACTTAACTTCCTTTTAAGTCTAGGGTCTCTAGACTTAATTACCACGGATAAATCATCAAATGTGTATGACCTGTTTTCAATTATATCTTGTGATGCAATGAGGAGAGAAGCCAAATTAATATATTTGCCTTTGTCGGGATCCCGTGGGCGGCTGCGAGGGGAGGCTGCACTCCGCTCGCGGTACTCACCCTCCAGCCGTCCGTGGTCCCCTCCTCCTCGTGGGCTCGGCGAGGCACGCTGGGAGACCGCCCAAATTATTACACGCCGGGGTCAGTCACCTGACCTGGCGTTAAAGGCACAGTGCCTCAATCACAGTGGGAGGTTTAGATATCTCCCACATGTGATTGTTAGTTCTGATTGGAAATTATCCAATCAGAATTAACCTTATGGTTTAAATACTTACCTTTCCTGTTCCTCCCTGCCCTGTTGTGGTCTTTGCTTACTAGTATTGCTACTTACCTTGTGTTTCTGGTTACGTACTCTCTGGCTTGTTTATCTGACTCTGTGACTTTCTCCTACCCTTTGACCTCGGCTCGTTTCACGTTATTCTGTCTTCTGGTTCCCCTTACTTGGCTTGTCTCCTGACTATTCTGTGTGTGCTTAGCCCGGCCACTCTAAGGTCCGGTACGGCACCTTTTCTGTGTGTGTGTGTGTGTGCCAGTGTGTTGGGTTCCCCGAATCGTGACATTATAACAGGGCCATACTGGAACCTGCTGACATACCACAGCTCCTAGTTAATCAAGAGGCTAGAATGGATGGCTTGGACCACCGTATGGATCAGTTTGCTCAAGCTTTGCAAACCATACTGGCTCGTACTGCACACTTGCAACCTGCCGTTCAGGAGGCTGCTGCTGCTGTGCCCGAACCCATTCCCACTCCAGTACCTGTTCCCGCTCATGTAGTTCACATGACGCCGCCACAGCGCTACAGCGGTGACCCAGCATTGTGTCGTGGTTTCCTCAACCAAATCGACATCCATTTGGTGATGAACCCACGTTCCTATCCCACTGACAGATCTAAAATTGCCTTTTTGATAAACCACTTGTCCGGGAGAGCTTTAGCATGGGCCAACCCCATTTGGGAAAATATGTCTCCTATGTCCTTTGCAGATTTTCTGACAGCTTTCAGACGCATGTTTGATCAACCCGGTAGGGTTGCTTCTGCTGGCAAGGCTCTGCTTAGGGTCCGACAGGGTAACAGATCTGTGGCGGATTACACTATCGAATTCTGCACTCTAGCAGCTGAAGTGGTTTGGAATAATGACGCCCTCGTAACAGCCTTTCTGGAGGGTTTGGCCGCTTATATACTGGATGAAATAGCATCCAGGGAATTGCCTGCTCTTCTAGATGATGTTATAGACTATGTGATTCTTATCGATAACCGTATTAGAGAGAGGCGTAGTCAAAGACGGTTGTGTTACCTGCTCTACCCAGTACTGCACTGCTAGCGTTACCCGCTCCTAGGCAACCATCCCCTGAACCCATGCAGTTGGGTGCTACGGGGTTAACTGAGGCCGAAAGAGCGTACCGTAGAAGGGAGGGGTTATGCCTTTATTGTGGGAAGAGGGGGCACCACTGTAAAGCCTGCCCTAAAGTACAGGGAAACTGCAGCACCTAAGGCCTAGAGAGGGGTCGGCCTCGGGTGTTATGACCTTGTCCCCTCATGTGTCCATCTCCAGACCGTTTATTACGGTTTCTCTTTTGGTCAATAAAACCACTATAACAACCAAAGCCCTGATCGATTCAGGTGCGGCAGACAACCTTATGGATGAGACCTTTGCCAAAACCGCAGCCCTGAATTTGATCCGAAAGGATACACCTTTGGCCGTTGAGGCCATAGATGGTAGACCACTGGAGAAACCTCTGGTGACCCATGAAACCCAGGAAATAGTTATGTCTGTGGTTGTTTTGCACAAGGAGAAGTTAACCTTCCAAATAATTGACTCCCCTACAGCCTCCATCGTTCTGGGTTTTCCCTGGTTAGTTAAACACAACCCTGTTCTTGATTGGGGTTGTTTAGATATACTCTCCTGGGGGGAATCTTGTCAACGAGACTATATGGCTCATGTACGTCCTGTTTGTTTACTTAACGTGCCCACGGCTAAACCACTCTCGGTTTCTGTCCCTTCTGTACATGCGGACCTTGCCTTGGTTTTTGAAAAAAGGGAGGCAGATAAGCTACCTCCACATCGTGAGTATGATTGTGCCATAAACCTCTTACCGGGTACTATGCCTCCTAGGGGAAAGGTCTACCCTCTTTCTGAGAAAAAAAACCAGATCATGGAGGAGTACATACGGGAATCCTTAAGGAAAGGTTTTATTAGAAGGTCCTCCTCTCCTGCTGGTGCTGGTTTCTTCTTTGTGGCAAAGAAGGAGGGTGATTTGATGTATAGACTACAGGGGTCTGAACAATATAACGGTTAAAAACGCCTACCCTATCCCCCTCGTCACTGAGTTGTTTGATCGTGTTAAAGGTTCTAAATTCTTCACCAAATTAGACCTCAGGGGGGCTTATAACCTTGTCCGTATAAAGGAGAATGACGAGTGGAAGACAGCGTTCAACACATGCAATGGGCATTACGAATATCTGGTCATGCCTTTTGGACTGTGTAATGCTCCTGCCGTGTTTCAGGACCTCATAAATGATGTCTTTAGGGATCTATTGCATGTCTGTGCTGTGGTGTACCTTGACGACATACTTGTGTATTCTCCTGATTTGAAGTTACACCATAACCATGTTAGGATGGTGCTCAAAAGGCTATTACAGAACGGACTCTACTGTAAGTTAGAAAAATGTTTATTCGATCAGACCTCTGTGCAATTCCTAGGATATATCATTACTGAACAGGGTTTCAGTATGGATCCTGCTAAATTGGAAGCTATACTGTCCTGGCCACTTCCCCAAGGACTGAAGGCTATCCAGCGTTTTATAGGATTTGCCAACTATTATAGGAAATTTTTAAAAAACTTTTCACCACTTATCTCTCTTATAACAAAGCTGACAAAAAAAGGCCTACACCCTAGGGTTTGGACTCCTGAAGCCCTTAAGGCCTTCGAAACCCTCAAGAAGGCATTTGCCTCTGCTCCAGTGCTGCACCACCCTGATCCTTCTCTTCCCTTTGTTATGGAAGTAGACGCTTCAGAGTCGGGTGTGGGAGCAGTACTGTCACAGAGGTTGTCGTATGACAAACCCCTCCATCCCTGTTGTTATTTTTCTAAAAGGTTGTCTGATCCAGAGAAGAATTACGATGTTGGGAACAGGGAACTATTAGCTATTGTGTTAGCTTTTAAGGAATGGAGGTACTTATTAGAGGGTTCTAGACACAAAATTATGGTTATAACAGATCATAAGAACCTCTCCTATATAGCTGATGCTAGAAGGTTATCTGCCCGGCAGGCTAGATGGTCTCTATTTCTCTCACGCTTCCAATATGTTATTACCTATAGACCTGGTTGCCGTAATGCCAAAGCTGACGCTATCTCTCGACAGCATGAACCAGTAGAATTTGTTAACCCGCCTCCTGAACCTATTGTACCTGCGTCTCAGATAATAGCTGCTACCCATTTGGTTGTTTCTTCACCTACCAAACCCAAGCACCCCCTGAGACGCCGGTTGGTAAACTATACGTTGAAGCAAATGACAGAAAAAAGTTGTTAACTTTATTTCACACCGCCAAAACTGCTGGTCATCCGGGGGTTACCAAAACCTACAAGGGCCTCCTTCAACAGTTCTGGTGGCCTTCACTCAAGCGAGACATAGTGGATTTTGTTCAGGCTTGTCGGGTCTGTACGCAGTGTAAGTCCCTTAATGTGAGACCCCAGGGTTTACTGATGCCTCTATCTATACCCAAGAAACCATGGACCCACTTATCCATGGATTTCATTGTAGACCTTCCTCTTTCTGATGGTCAGACGGTGATACTGACTGTGACGGATAGGTTCTCTAAAATGGCGCACTTTATTTCGCTTAAGAAACTGCCTTCTGCGGTTCAGTTAGCTCAGGTGTTTGCCAAAGAAGTGTTCCGCTTGCATGGGGTACCTCAGGATATCGTATCTAACAGGGGTCCTCAATTTGTCTCTCAGTTTTGGAGGGGCTTTTGTGCTGAGATGGGGGTCTCCTTGTCGTTCTCTTCCTCCTATCACCCGCAATCTAATGGTGCGGCTGAACGTGCTTATCAGTCTGTGGAATTGTATTTGCGCTGCTTCACTAATGCGCACCAGGATGACTGGTCTCGCCTCCTTCCGTGGGCTGAATTTGCCAGGAATACGGTGTCTCATTCGTCTACTGGCTTAAGTCCTTTTGAGGTTGCTTATGGGTTTCGACCTTCTGTCCTTCCCGGTGCGTTCTCCGACAAGGGAATGCCCGCCTTGGACCAGCACCTCGCCTCTTTGCGGAAGACGTGGGATCAGGTCCATGTTGCGCTGTCTCGTTCAGCAGCTGCTCAGAAAAAGTTTGCTGATCGCCGTAGGGTTGCGGCCCCTTCTTATGTTCCAGGTTATAGGGTTTGGTTGTCCTCCAGGAACCTCCGTCTCAAGGTTCCCTCGATTAAATTTGCTCCCAGGTTTCTTGGTCCCTACAGGGTGTTACGTAGGGTTAACCCCGTTTCCTACTCCCTTGACCTGCCTCCTTCCATGCGTATCCCGAACACGTTTCACGTCTCGCTTTTGAAGCCCTTGCTGTGTAACCAGTTCTCTCGTCCCCTCGGGCGGCCCGTTTCCCCTCGCGCTGTCTCTAGCGACGTGTACGAGGTGGCTGCCCTTCTCGATTCTCGTGTTTCTAGGGGTCGGCTGCAATATTTGGTGGATTGGAAGGGGTACGGCCCTGAGGAGCGGTCTTGGGTTTCGAGCTCTGATATGCACGCTCCCTCTTTGGTCCGCTCCTTTCATGCCCGGTTTTCTTTGAAGCCTTCAGCTTCCCGCCCTCCGGGTGGTCTTCGAGGGGGGGTAATGTCGGGATCCCGCGGGCAGCTGCGAGGGGAGGCTGCACTCCGCTCGCGGTACTCACCCTCCAGCCGTCCGCGGTCCCCTCCTCCTCGTGGGGTCGGCGAGCGACATCCTTCCACCCTCGGATGCCGCCTGCCGTTTCCTCCACGTCCCCCAGCGGCAGCATGCATGACGCTGCACGCTGGGAGACCGCCCAAATTATTACACGCCGGGGTCAGTCACCTGACCCGGCGTTAAAGGCACAGTGCCTCAATCACAGTGGGAGGTTTAGATATCTCCCACGTGTGATTGTTAATTCTGATTGGAAATTATCCAATCAGAATTAACCTTATGGTTTAAATACTTACCTTTCCTGTTCCTCCCTGCCCTGTTGTGGTCTTTGCTTACTAGTATTGCTACTTACCTTGTGTTTCTGGTTACGTACTCTCTGGCTTGTTTATCTGACTCTGTGACTTTCTCCTACCCTTTGACCTCGGCTCGTTTCACGTTATTCTGTCTTCTGGTTCCCCTTACTCGGCTTGTCTCCTGACTATTCTGTGTGTGCTTAGCCCGGCCACTCTAAGGTCCGGTACGGCACCTTTTCTGTGTGTGTGTGTGTGTGTGCCAGCGTGTTGGGTTCCCCGAATCGTGACAGCCTTCTAATATGTCACGTTTAAGGTTTTGGGGAATGAGATGTACTGGATTAATGATGTTAGTACTTTTAGTGGGTAGAGGATTAGAGTTACCTCCTGTGTTTGGTTCTGGCTGAGCTATGGGAATTTGGACATCCGGGATGATTGTTTGGTTATTGGATTTCAGATTAGCCAACCGGTTGTTAATAGTGGCTACAGAAGTCACTAGAGAGATCATGTTATGTAGTTCTGACAAACTGTTTTGCATACTACATTCAGAACTAGTGCCAGACCTTTCATTATCATTGTGCGTGTTTAACAAGAAAAATAGTTCAGCTTTCCTGGCTGTAGCAGGAAATGGAATGTTCTTCCTTTTAAGTTCAGCTGTAATTTTTGGAATTGTCCAAAATCTGTAGTTGGACACTGGGCTGGCTACAACGGCTTGCCTCGTCTTGAAATTAGATCTGGTCGGGTGCTGGTAAGCGGCAGGTCATCTCCTTGTAGTAAAGCGTGAGCCATGCTATGGGTGTGAAGTAGATGACTTGATTAATATGATATCCTAATAGGTGTGAAGTAACCCAGCTCACTAGATTTAATACCTTAGGTTGTCTTCTTTTAAAAAAATATGTACATGTGTAGGGTTATTCAGGGATTCCTGACAGATATCAGTGTTACAATATAACTTGTGTTAATTTTGAAAAAAATGGTTTGGAAATAGAAAAGTGATACTTGTACTTATAGCCCTATAACTTTCCCAAAAAATTAAGAACATGTTAACATTCGGCATTTCAAAACTCAGGACAAAATTTCGAAACTATTTAGCACGGGTGTTTTTTGGCGGTAGTAGATGCGTAAAAGATTTTGGCGGTCAAAGTTCGAAAAAGTGGGGGGTATTTTTTTTACATTTTTTTCATCATATTTTATAAAAAAATTTTTTATAGTAAATTAGATGGTATGATGGAAATAATGGTATCTTTAGAAAGACTATTTAACGGCGAGAAAAACAGTATATAATGTGTTGGTACAGTAAATGAGTAAGAGGAAAATTACAGCTAAACACAAACACAGCAGAAATGTAAAAAGAGCCCTGGTCCTTAACGGTAGGAAAATTGAAAAACAGTCTGGTCACTAAGGGGTTAAACTATAATGTGGGAAAGAGAAACAAATTTCACTCCTAGGGAATGGAGAGAAAATAAATACTCGAACGGAACCTTCATACGAATTTAGAAAAAAAATTAGAAATGTGGTTTTATTTACAGTTTTTGCTAAAATAATGTGTGTATAATTAGTGCAGGTTAAAAATAAATTCATTTAGTTGTTCTGACTTACAGAATATATAGTGTGTCTGGGATTTTAAGGTTTGTTTAGTAGTTACAGGTCACAAAGCACAAGGCATAAAATAAACTTTTAATGTGGAGCGATTTTAGAATTTGGTATGTTTGTCTTGTAAGCTTAATAGCCAAAAAAGAAAACAAAATTGCCACACAAGTATATATTTATATAAAGAAAACATCACAGGCTATTGTCCTAAGGTTGTTTTGACACTTTCTATGTAGCCATTTCACTGCCAATCTCTGCTAAATATTTAAGTATAATTGTGGGTATATATATTTTGCAAATCTTATGTGTGCTATGACTGTATAATACTACATATGTTGCTCAGCTATGTTGCCTGAGTACAGCAATACCCCTGTATGTACCTTTGCCAGGTATATGTGGATGTTGAAGGGGCAAATTTGAGACGCAGCCATTCAGTTTTTTTCTAACTTTGAAGTTTTACGCTATGTCCATGTTCCATTTTGGAGTAGTTTAGTTGGTTGGTTATTGAAACTTCCACACAAATACATACTATTTATTAAAGAATACACCCTGGGGTAATTCAAAAGGCTTATTGTGAACTTTAGCGCAGGATAATTTTTTCTCTAGTTTGTTCCAGGTGTAATGGTAATGAGCATTTTTAAATGTATTTTTTTTTACTCTTTAAAAAGTTTTTTAAACTTTTTTTTGCTTATTTTTTTAAACTTTCTTAAATCTTTTTTTTTAACAGATTTAACATTATTATAAGCTTTATTTTAATTTTTTTATTTTTTTTTACTGTTAACCCCTCACTAGCAGTAAGCAGCACTAACGGTAAATTTCCCATAACTCCCACCCACCCCAGCTAACAAAATACATCATGTTAAAATATTTAAACAATTAAATAAATTGAACCCCTAAGGGTTAAAAATAAAATCGGATCACAGTACAATACTGTGATCTGTATTTTGATCACTGTAGGTAGTGATCAACTGGCAGGGAAGGGGTTAATTTTTATTTGGAATGGGCAAGGAGGGTGGAATTTTTTAATTTTTTTAAAAAAAAATTATTAAAACATTTTTTCAACTCTTAAAACTTTCTTTTTTACTTTTTAACGTTAACCCCTAGTTAGCCTAACACCACATTCACCAATTCCCTACTAACTTCCACCCACCCCAGCTAGCTAAATATATTATTTTAATATATTTAAATTCATTTAAAAAATGAGATCACAGTTAAATGTATACCCTGCCATTTGATTACTGTAGTCAGTGATCAATTGGTAGGGAAGGGGTTAATTTTTTTATTAAAATGGGTAAAGGGGGGTGGGATTTTAAATTAACTTTATTTTATTTTTTTAACAGGGACAAGAGCAGGTGTGATCCGCCTCCCTGAACTTCGCATAGAACCAGGAAGTGCAGAGAGACGGAAGATAAGTATCTGCAGCACATGTCAGCATGTCAGAGCGAGCACTGCTGCAGGGGCAGCCCGATCAGGTGCTCCCGTTCTGCCTCTAATACAGAGGCAGACCGGAGCACCGTTAACCCCGCAATCGCCGCGATCTGGGGTTAATTTTAACGTATGACAGACGAGGTCCGTCGCCCGTCGTTAAGAGTCTCCCCTGAATGGGTTAATATAGCATTAGACACAACAAACCTATAACACATGTGTCAATCATGACACAGACGGGCAGTCACGAGCTCGTTTTCTGTAACCTATGGCTGGTCTGTGTGCCTGGCATTTTCACAAACATTAGTCCTGGAAATTGGATACTCTCTTCTTGGACAGTGTCATAGAACTTATGCATGGAGACAGGGATGAATAAAATAATTTGAGCAAACAAGGACATAGGATTTTGTAAAACAGTTCATGTGTGCAGGGCCTTATGTGTGTTTTGTGGTTACTTGTCAAAGTATCCTGCTCTGGATGTATTTAACCTACTCACATCACTCTCCGCTTCAGTATTTCTTCTCATTAGAACAATTCATGTATTCAGGGACTTTTGTGTGTTTTGTGGTCACATTTCGTTTACCAGTATGCAACAATCTAAACACCATACTATCAGTGAAATATAGGTAAAAAGTAACATAGCTTGAAATCAAAATACAGCCTCTCAAGATCACTATACACACAAAATGACCTTCACAATGTATAGAAAACCAGAAACAAATATACGGGATATGGCTGAGCAAATCTATAAAGGAACAAAGAAAGCAAAATAGTGTAATACAGTATATACAATAAATCATGCGCTGTACAAAATTGCACTCACGAGATAGCGAAGAGTTAAGCGCTCATAGGGTACCTCCCCCGATGGTGTGGGGGGCTACAAATCCCCTTGTTACTGCAGGATGACCAATGGTACACAGGACTTCAAATGGATGAGAGTTAAAAATCCACTTTTTTTATTGTTTAAAAGATGAATAATCACCATTCAGAATAGGATAAAAAATACAAGCGGTAGGTCCTACGCATTTCGTTCCACTAAGGAACTTCTTCAGTGACCGCAGTAACAATAAAATCAAACACAGTATTACACAGTGTAAAAATAACATATCCTACCCCCATTCCACAATCCCTTTAAAAAGGGCTATTCCCTGTGTCCATTGGTGGATCAGTGGGTGTTTCCATCAATCTGTCTCCTCATTGGTGTAAAGACGATCTTCCTCAGCTGTTTATACTACTTGTAACTTCATTTCAATCAAAGTTTGCGCGTTCGAGAAAACCGGAAGTAAGCATAGTATTCTACTTCCGCGTTCCAAGTGCGTTCCACATGTGTGTCACCCTCACATTCGTGTAATTGGAGAGTGCCAGACCTTCTAATACATCGTTGGTGGGCAACATAAATATACAAAGCAGTGCACATCTACTTAAATAAAGAATATATTAGTGTTGGAACAAAATAACCAAAAAATAAATATTTAGCTAAGTACAGTTGAAAGGATAGTGAAAACCACCAGGTATATTCTATTATTTTTAACCAAGTGTACTACTATCTTAAATGCACTTAATAAAGTGCTATCGTACAATAATTAAAGTGACAGGTGCATTAGAACACTTGTAAGATATTGAATATGTGAAACTGATAGGAAATACAATAAAAAATAGTGGAAACCACAATGTATGCTCTATTATTTATACTACATTGTGCAATCATCTTAGATCCACATCACAAGATGTAATCATCAGTTATTAAAGTGACAAGTGCTTAGAACATTGGTGAAAATATTGAATTTTATAATACAATGTGATACTGTTCCCCCCCAAAAAATAGAAATAAATTGAAATCGAAAAAAATAAAAGGATCCAATTATTGGATCAGCACACATACCGATGTCTGGATAAAAAAGTGTATCTATAAATGGCTAACACAAAAAGATGATAAAGAACCAATTTATTCCCTTTGACAGATGGTTTGAACCATGGTATAATGTAACAACATTCAAAGAGAATAAAGTAATGCCAAGCAAATCCAACTTATTAGATACATTAACCCCCTTTATGGGGTGGTGTGTGTGTGTGTGTGTGTGTATGTGTATATATTGTGATCCTTGTTTGCAGGTAACACGGTCCTCTAGGGCAAAAACATGCACAGTCCTTGTAATTGCATATACTCAGGCACTTTATTTTGTAAATCCACACAGGATACAGCAGTAAATGAAAACAAAAGTAACAGAAAACCCTATAAACAAAAACCTAGCTCGTCTGAGCACTAACTGACATTAGTTCCCTATCTCTCAGGGTTAATCTAAACACAATATTGCACCAACCTTATTAGAGAGCAACGCTCTGCTAGCTAGCCTGTTGCTTTCCTTTCTGCACTCCCAGTGCTCCAAGCCAGCCTTGCCCTGACTGCTTTCCTTTCTGCACTCCCAGTGCTCCAAGCCAGCCTTGCCCTGACTGCTTCCTTTCTGCACTCCCAGTGCTCCAAGCCAGCCTTGCCCTGACTGCTTCCTTTCTGCACTCCAAGTGCCTAGTCTCCTTGACTATCTGGAGAGAACAGCCTCTCTCTCCTACCTGCTTCCTGGGAGGAAGCCAGCAATCCCTCTCCTTTACCTGCCTAGCAGGTTGGAGTTTATTCCCACTGCAACAGCTCATTAACTGCAGCTGAGCAGTGGGTTGGAGAGGATCCAAAAAACCCTGGCCTGGATCCATGTCTCCCCAGAAAACCACTAAACTGTGGAGTGGAGCATTGACCCACCCTTCTCTCCAAATGCTCCACCACAGGGGCCCATAACTAAACAGCGTTTTGTGTTGCCTACAACACATCCTACACATACTCCCCCTGGGGTTAAAAGGCCTATCTGCCTTCACTTTATCACAATATATATATAATGTATATGTAATACATTCTCACGATATTAGATGGAATATTTACAGATAATCAACCCCTAGTTTCCAAAGTATTAAGTCTATGTATCCAAAAGGTTTCTCTCTGGGACAATTTCTTAACCCTATCTCCTCCACACCAGAAAGGTAAGACCTTTTCGATGTCTTTACATTTAAGGTCCCCAAAATAAAAAACAGGGCAGCTGTTACAATGAACTGGAACAGAATGGGTTGTGAGATTTTTTTCTTTTGTTATTCAGATGTTCCAGTAATTTGACCTTTAGGGGACGTTTTGTACGGCCCACATATTGTTTGCCACATGGACACTGCAGCAAATACGCTACATGGTCCGTGTGGCAACCTATCTCTGTTCTGATTTTAAACACTTCCCCTGTGACAACGCTGGAAAACTCATTGGTTCTCTCAATAGGTGCCGTGGTGAAGGCATTACATAAACCACAGTCCCTAAAGGATCCAAGATTCACCATAGTATTATCTCTAATAGGTTTAATAGCATAACTCGGGGCCAGCATGTTCTTAAAGCTTTTATTTATTTTTTTAATATCACCGTTGGACGGTCCGATATACAATTTCTCCGAACCGGGTCCTGCAATAAAATGGGCCAAAAATTCTTTAGGCTTCTTTTTATTTTATGATGGTCAGTGTTATACTAGGTAACAAAAACAGATTTAAAGTCAATATTAGCAGTAACCAAAGGTGGTTTATCCTCCAACAATGTGTTGCGCTCCAGAAGACCGATGGAGTGAATTTCCTTATCTAATGTATTTTTGTTATAACCCTTCTCAAGAAGTTTATTTTTTATATGTAAGGATTGGGTCTGAAAATCCTGGAAATCCCAACTCATTATCAAACATTCGAGAGAGATGCAAAATAAATTAGAAGCTGAACTGATTGATTTGGACTCCACCCCTTCTGTAGATACCGAGGGGAGGGAATTAAAGGAAAGAGAAGAGATCCTACATAATAATATTAAAAAAAACTAGATGAAAAAATTGCAGAAACAAAAAATAAAAAGTATAGCAGAGATAGGGAGGACAAATTATTAAACCCCTTCTCTACCCATAATAAATTAATAAGGAGAAAATCACGCTCTCTCCCTCAAAATAAGATTAAAGGACTCCCTGAAATAGAGTAAGAAATAATTCTCATTCTAGACCAGCACCTAGGGATCACTATACATTCCACTATGATAATTCAACCAATCCCCATAGGACACCAAATAGAGAAAGACATGGGGTCTTTCTCTATTTGTCCAGTAGAATATCTCATGATAGGAGGGATACCACGAGATACAATGCTCAAGTTGCACGAAATAAAACAGATATACATGGAAACTCCACTCAATATAATGATCAGGAATTAAATTTTCAGGGGAGACCCAGAGGTCCAAAGGAAAAATATATAACCAATTACTTCTGCCCCAGAACCGAAACTTAGGAACATCCCAACAGATTTTCCTCTCTACACCAAGATTAATCAATGCCCCAAAAATTCAGTGTCCCCTAAGGGAAAAGGAGACTGATAAGGGTATCTTCAACTTAACGGGGATAAGACTATCAGATGAGGAGATTAATTTACTATCTAAGGGAATGAAATTTGCCCCTAATAAGATGTCAAATTAATTTCATCTTTATATAGATCTTAAGAAGTTTATCCGTTCTTTGACTATCAAAAGACACTTTCTCTTGCATTCCTCTAGTCCACATGTAACCACCAATGCCGTACAAACAAAGGCTAATTATAAATTCCAACCTAAATCACACTTCTTCCCTATCCAGAGAAAATTTCCTTTTTTTGGAAACCTTCGAACGTATGGTTGACCAGACATTCCAATCTTTTTCCACAAGGGCAAATAAAAACTTGCGTTCCTTCAATCTCACTAAGAGGGAAGAAATTATTCTGAAGAATTTTATGGAACGGGATGATCTGGTCATTAGAGAAGCAGACAAGGGGGGTGGTATAGGTTTGATGACCACCTCATATTATCTGAAGTCATTTAACATACTGGGGGATAGAAAAACATATACTATTCTTCACTGTAACCCTACTATCTCTTTTAATTCAGAATTTCAGAAAATCTTGGTTACTGCTAAAGACAGTGGGATTATTTCACAAAAAGAATTTAGATTTGTTTTTGTTTCAAAAAATCCTGTTATCCCTATTTTTAATTTTCTTCCTAAAACCCATAAACGTCTCCCCAATCCACCAGGTCACCTCATCATTAGTGGGGTAAATTCATTAACTGCGAATTTGTCTGCCTATGTGGACTCTTTTCTTCAGAAATATGCCCAAGGGGCACCTTCGTACATTAGAGATACCAAGTCCTTTTTACAGGAACTAGAAAATATAGAGTGGGATCCGGAATACAGTTGGGCAACATTGGATGTGACCTCCTTGTATACTGTGATCAGCCACGTATCGGGATTGGAAGCACTTGATTACTATATGACCAGAGATACTGAGTTACCTATGAGTCAGAAGGAATTTATTTTATCCTCTGTTCAATTTATTTTGGAGCACAATTATTTCTTTTTCAATGGTGGATATTATTTACAGACCACGGGGACAACCATGGGCACCAGGTTTGCCC